GGTGTGAATTGCTGCTGCTACTGCTGTTGCTGCTACCACTGCTGCTGCTGCTGCTGCCATTGCTGCTCACCAGCAGGGGAAGCGCAGCGGAATCCACCGTTCTCTCGCAGTCTGAGTACTTTGTGTGCGTGAGTGGAAACGCCGACACCGTCGACCCGTCCGTCCCGCTTCCCGAGCTGGAGCTGGGTAGGGAAGCATTAGGTGTAACGTACATGCATGATCTATCCGAAGCCGACCAGGGCAAGATCTGCCACGTGGTGGTCCTGGCTCTCACGGCGTTGCTCGATACGTATGACCTACGCTGGAAGACGGGTCGACCGTTGAAGCGCAAGGGTATGGACGTGAAGGACGCCAAGAGCAAGATCTTCGGTGTGCCGCTGACGTCTATGATGGAGCGCGATCGTGGCCTGCAGGAAAGCATCACGTGTCCTCTCTTCTTCACCGAGGTGAGTCCTGCAGCGTGTGTGGAGCACGCCATACCCTCTATACAAGTGTACATACATGATAGTGCATGCTCTGGCAAGTGCCGCACCGGGAATCTATGAATACAGTAGTGTGTGTGGTCTCACTGGTCTGTGCTGCCTCTTTCACTTGCTACTCTTATAACAGTATGCACTCATATAGTACCAGTACATATTATGCACCCCCTGAGTGCCAGTCACTTTAGCCTTGCTAATGGCAGATCATGCAGTTGCAGTTGCAGCCTCTGACAATGGTACCTGCTATTGTTCGCACACGTATTCGGTTCTACTTGTGGACTGTGCAACCTCTCTTGTCTGTCCTGGTGCGGCTCTCTGCATTTTTACTGCTGCATCAACCATTGTGTACAGTACGTATCGCCTATGTATAGCATTGGTCTTTGATTTTGAGCATTTTATCACTATATTAAGTTCCCGTTTGTCTCTTTCCCTCAAACCAGTTAATATTAAGTTAAAGCGATATATTACTATGAGCGACACTGCATGCACTGTATGCGAGTGGGGTATCAAAACACTCAGCGCGCCGTACACGTACACATAGCTGGTTGCAGTGTATGTCCTGTGTACTCGTACATTAAACAATGCATCCTATCATGCCGATGCAGCCAAGGCTCCTGACGTACAACGTCAGCATATCCTCACGATGGAGGCATTTTGGACAACTATCACTACAACGAGAGAGCTCACGAAACAACACTGGGCAAGTTTTTCACAAAGAAGTTACGTCCTGTTCGCCTCTGACACCACTTGATTTCACATCAATTACATTAACCGATGCAAAAATAATGTACTAGTAGTAGTAGGTAAGACTCGAATGGAGACTGGCCAATGATTGATTTATAGTGAAGAAAAGAACCGAGGAACTACAAGTTATGCTATAATGTCCACTAACACCACCAGTTACTTGACAATCAGCTCATGCGATAACATTGCACAAAACTGACCGACAGTACTGACGTTCTACAACTTACTGGCTATCAGCTCTGGCACGTCTTGGGTGTGCGCTCCAACAGCAACTTGAAAGGTTCTAAGTTATAATTGTAACAACATAGGAGGGGAAGGTGAGCGCAACGAAGACCAGGACCAGCTGAAACCTTCCCCTCCTATGTTATCATATAACTTACAAGTAAAACCTTCCAAGTTGGAAGGCTGTTGAAGTGCGCACCAAAGACGTGCTAGAGCTGATAGCCAGTTAGTTGTAGAACGTCAGTACTGTCGGTCATTTTTGTGCAATATTATCGCATGAGCTGATTGTCAAGAAACTGGTGGTGTTAGTGGACATTTTAGCATAACTTGTAGTTTCTTGGTCCTTTTCTTTACTATACATTATGGTAAATGTCTTGAAGATTGAATTTGATCACTACAGGTGATATATTGCGATAGACGATTATTACTATACGCGATAGCTGTGTATACTTAGTTATGGCAAATGAAAATGAATTTGAGAAGTAACTGTTGATCACTATAGCCGGTATGTTACTCTAGTGGCCAACCTTATAGGCGATGCGCACCGTACTGAGATAGAAACAGGAGCCACTCCTATCCCAATGGGGCCGCTGTTCTGGTTCCTATCCAGTGAATAGTGTCCCTCCTCCTACTCCTCCTTCTCCTACTCCTTCTCGTCCTCTCCCCCCCCCCCCCCCCCCCCTCATTCCCTACCAAAATACTGAAACGGATATAGTCCCCATGTCTGATACCCCCTCCAGCACTTTTTGTCAAGGGAGGGGGGGGGGGGGGGGTGTGCAGAGAGGAGGATAGCATGCACCGCTCCACTGCTGTGAAGTGAGCGTAACGTAACTGCAGGGAAGGGAACTGATTCACGCTGTCTGCTCTCCGTGTGTGTGTTTTTTTGCTGTCGGTGTGGGGCATGGACAATGGCGCGTTGCTGGTCTGGCACTGGACTGCTGCTGCTGGTGAACCTGTGAGCACAGATCTGTGACTTCCTTGTAGAGCGAGGTAAGTCAAGCGGGTTGGGTTGCTGGCAATGTGTGCTGTGACCACCAGGGGCGTAGCTGGTCCCCCTTTTAGGGGTGGGGTGGGGGGCACGACTGCATATGTGCAGGATGGCCGGTGCATGTCATTCATGGTCATTATGTGCATGCTGAACCTAGGTCGAAATATTTAGGGGGTGCACATGCCGCCAGGGCCCCATGCGGGCTACACGCCTGACCACTGTCCGTTATGACCAGTTGCTTTTTAGTCAGTAGCAGGTCATCTGCTAGCAGTAGCTGCTAGCCGCCTGGCGATATTCTCCTCAGTGGGCTACTGCCCGTGGGCATTGTTTCATGTACATGACGACAAAACACGTGACGTATGTACGAGGTGTGAAGTATGGTTGGAAAATGTGTTGTTGTCTCAGTGGAGGGTTGCTAGTGAGGTGTTGAAGGTGGTTGGTGTGACCTCTTCATCACCTGGGTACACCCTGTATCACCTGGGTACACCCTGCATCACCCAGTGACACCCACCCGCTGATGAAGCGGCGCAGTAGTAGTTTCCCGGCCTGCAGTTCCCTTGTCACGTTGGGTGAGTGTGAATGCAGTGTGAACTGTCATCATTTTTGATAGCTGCTCCTTTGTTTTTGTGTACATGCAGGCGCAACGGAGGAAGGCATTCTTCGCAAGCCGGGCAGTGAGAGTCGTATGAAGGTGCGTGTAAAGGCGTAGTTGTTGTCGGCAAGATTGACAGCAATGACAGTCCCACCACTGAGCCCTTTCACCAGGGCATATTGCACTGCATCTTCCAGTAATATTCTGCGTTCTGCTATGGTGCGCTAACTGCACTGGGTGCTCCCTGCTCCCTCGGGAACACACGTCTTAGCATTTGCCATGCATTTTCCTGGGCCATGTGCAGTGTGTGTGTGTGTGTGTGTGTGTGTGTGTGTGTGTGTGTGTGTGCGTGTGTGTGCGTGTGTGTGTGTGTGTGTGTGTGTGTGTGTGCGCGTGTCATGATGTGTATTAAAACTAGATATTTGGTTGGGAGAGCCTAGCCATGCGGATATACTCCAGCTTTGCATGTGATTGTGCGTATGTTTTTGCATGTGATTGTGCGTATGTTTTTGCATGTATGTGTTTGACTGCACAGTTCATATGTGTGCTTGCAATCGCGTTCTGGTAGCTTGGACACGTTTCTTTTGCTTTTCTGGAAAACTCATTGCTTTCTCTCTCACTTTTTTGTTCTTCTTGGTGTAGAAACTGCGTGAGGAACTAGAAGACGTCTTCTGTGAAGGTCGCTTCAGCTGGCAGGATCGCTTCCCCCATGATTGCGCAACGTTGCTGAAACAGTTTCTTCGGTAGGTGGAGTCCAGCCATCTCTTTTATTTGACTTGCTGTGTGTGTGCATGCGTGTGTATGTGTGCGTGCGCGCATGCGTGTGAGTTTGTGTACGTATGTGTGCGTGCGTGTGTGTGTGTGTGTGAGAGAGAGAGAGAGAGAGAGAGAGAGAGAGAGAGAGAGAGAGAGAGAGAGAGAGAGAGAGAGAGAGAGAGAGAGAGAGAGAGAGAGAGAGAGAGAGAGAGAGAGAGAGAGAGAGAGAGAGAGAGAGAGATGGAGGTCGGGAGAGGTCGGGAAGAGCAACACATTATATGTCTTGCCAGCATAGTGCATAGCTAAGCTGTGTGCTGATTCATAATTTTTGTTTCTGTTACTTTGGCTGCAGGGAGCTTCCTGTGGCGTTGCTGACCGAGGAATACTTGCCGATGTTTGAGACGATAGAACGTAAGTGAACTGCACAGTTAGTCATGAGCACTGGCTGAACATTCCGTTAAGTCATCATCAGGATTCACGATTACTACAGTAGTATAGTACTATAGGCGATTCAGACTACGGCCAAAATCACGTCTGAACTTGAATTTCCATGGTGATGCAGTCGTGTTTCGAAATGTTATGTACAATGCTGAGTCTGAGTCGTAGAAACGTGGTCACAGTTGGCCGTAGTCTGAATAGCTGATTACATAAGTTATTAGTGGGATGTACGGTGCTGCACAATGAAACCCGATCCTGTGAGTCAAGTGCGTGTGCTCCGCTGCACCAGTGCACAGTCCACCACCCAGTGTTCACAGGTCTGTGGCTGCCCAGTGTCCCAGTGTCCGGCCGGCTTGACATGGACTGGCATGATGCATGATTGGATTGCATTGAGCGCCACTGTACATCACCGTCCAAGTGTTCTGCTGTCTTCTTCTGTACCCTTACTCTAAAGGTTTCCGGCCGTTGCCAGCTCCATCCATTCAGGATTTGTTTGGTGAACTGGCGATGGGAAAGCTGTTCCTAGGTTTCTTTTCCTGACTTGGCAATGTGTTTGTGCTGCTGGCCTTCTTCCCGCTGCTGTAGATATTCCTAGCCGACGCGTACAGCTGATGGTGCTCAACCTGCTGACCCTGCTCATCCCACCAGTGCACAGAGCATGCCTCAAGGTACAGTCCACTGCTGCTGCGCTCACCGTGTTCCACACTCGGCTAGCTCATGCAAAAACAAGTCATCCTATGGCTTGATCTGTTCGCGTAACTACTAGCCGATGGTTGGTTGGTTTCTTTTATTTGAATTCGTTTAGAGCACAGGCAATTCTGCCTTCTCACCAGAGGAAAAAAACCTCCAGTTCCTACTACAAGTAAGAACGAATAATGGCAGCAACTGGTCATCATGCTACTGTATACCTGTAGTAGTACTTCAGAAGTACTTCAGTACGATTATTTGATGTCGGTGCACTCATATCACTCGCGTTATGCCGTGAACATGACCACTTTGAATGAACACTGCGCTGTTCCTTTCTATCCGTTTTGGTATGCTGCTGTCTTTGTCAGGTTCTACTGCAGAAGCTCTATCAGATCACAACGTTTGAGGACAAGAACCGCATGGGCCTGTCCAGCGTGGCCATGATCATTGCACCTAATCTGTTCCGCCATCGACCGTGCACCGACCCCACCAACGAGGTATGTTCAGAATGATTCTCGAGGAAGACTGAGTGTGTGTGTGTGTGTGTGTGTGTGTGTGTGTGTGTGTGTGCGTGTGTGTGTGTGTGTGCGTGTGTGTGTGCGTGTGTGTGTGCGTGATCGAATATCATTGCCTGGAGTGGCTTGGGCGCGTAGTCTGGGAAGCAGAATATCCGTATTCTGATGTACTGTAAAAGCCATTATTCTAACGAGGCGCATATATAACGATTTCCCAAAATTGACTAGTTTACGTGTACCAAAGGTAACGATTCTCACTCATTCTCAACGCTCAATAGGACAGTATATGTATCGATTTCTGTATAACGATTTCTATTTTAACGACAGATTTCTCCTCATTAGAGTTCGCACTTCGTTATATATAAATATAGTATATAAATATAGTATAATATATTATACTCAATCTGCGGACAGCATGCTGTTTCGTTCTTTTTGAACTCATCAGCGCAGCATAATATATAATATATACGCAGATTGAGTACATAATATATTATATATATTATATATATATTATATATTTGAAACTCGGATATTGAGCCAATAATAAAGTAGAAAGGAAAAGGACATACTTATGGAAACGAGTTAAGAGTAACTCTCCACCACTGTAACTAGATACTATATACAGTCAGAAAGTGCAACAACTAGGCACAAAACTGACAGAGTACTGAGACATTCGACGTCCTGACACCTAGCTTCAACACATCTCCGTAGCGCTAACCGACAGCCTTCCAACTTGGAAGGTTCAAGGTTATAGAAAGACCAAAGAGGGGAAGGCAAGCGCAACGAAAACGAGCACAAGCTACAGTCCCAACGGAACAAAGAATGTCGATTGTCACTGGACGATGACGAGACCAGTAGGCGATTTGACAAAGCGGTCTAACTACAATTCGAAGCAGCAAAGCAGCACACCACCCAACTTGGGTGGGTCAAAAATATCAAAGATAAGTTAAGAAGGGGGAAGCTTTGCGAGAACGAATTGTACAAGCCGAAATCTAAACTCCTACAGTACTCCTCATGCATGACATTGTGAAGGACTAGTTGACTACAAAACAAGTTGTTTCACACGACGTACGTTTCGCCGTATGGTTCGTGACGGCTCATCAGGTGTGCAATTTGAAACTCGGATATTGAGCCAATAATAAAAGTAGAAAGGAAAGGGACATTTGTAGTCAACTAGTCCATCACAATGTCATGCATGAGGAGTACTGTAGGAGTTTAGATTTCGGCTTGTACAATTCGTTCTCGCAAAGCTTCCCCCTTCTTAAAACTTATCTTTGATATTTTTGACCCACCCAAGTTGGGTGGTGTGCTGCTTTGCTGCTTCGAATTGTAGTTAGACCGCTTTGTCAAATCGCCTACTGGTCTCGTCATCTTCCAGTGACAATCGACATTCTTTGTTCCGTTGGGACTGTAGATTGTGCTCGTTTTTGTTGCGCTTGCCTTCCCCTCTTTGGTCTTTCTATAACCTTGAACCTTCCAAGTTGGAAGGCTGTCGGTTAGCGCTACGGAGATGTGTTGAAGCTAGGTGTCAAGACGTCGAATGTCTCAGTACTCTGTCAGTTTTGTGCCTAGTTGTTGCACTTTCTGACTGTGTATAGTATCTAGTTACAGTGGTGGAGAGTTACTCTTAACTCGTTTCCATATGTCCTTTTCCTTTCTACTTTTAATATAATATATATTATATATATGGCTTTTACAGTATTAGGTATTGCACGGCGGGAGTGGCTTAGGCGCCTGTGTAGAGTGTGCAGGCAGTGATCATGGATATCCAGGTGGGCAAACTCTGTGTAGAGTGTGCAGGCAGTGATCATGGATATCCAGGTGGGCAAACTCTGTGTAGAGTGTGCAGGCAGTGATCATGGATATCCAGGTGGGCAAACTCTGTGTAGAGTGTGCAGGCAGTGATCATGGATATCCAGGTGGGCATACTCTGTGTATAGAGTGTGCAGGCAGTGATCATGGATATCCAGGTGGGCAAACTCTGTGTAGAGTGTGCAGGCAGTGATCATGGATATCCAGGTGGGCAAACTCTGTGTTGAGTGTGCAGGCAGTGATCATAGATATCCAGGTGGGCAAACTCTGTGTAGAGTGTTGTGATATCCGTACTAGTGAGCTACCTCACGTGATAGATCATTATCTTTCTACTCCTCTGCTCTAAGTTGTATCAGCCGCGCATGCTTTTCCGTTGTGCTGCTGAGCTTCTCTGTCGTTCTAGTTCGACGTTCTAGCTTTGATCTTGAAGTCAACAGTTCCCCTTTTGTCTTGTCCTGAACTGCTCTGGTGTGATCATAATATTTGGCGACGAAGTCCTTGATTCAGCTGCCACGATGAGCACAGTAAAATCATTGAACCCGTTTGATCTGGAACCGCCTGAGTCGGTTGGCCCTCGTTGGGAGAAATGGCTGGCTCGTTTCGATAATTATTTGATTGCAGCAAACATCACGGAAGACGAGCGGCAGAGAGCCCAGCTCTTGCACGGTGGCGGTGAGGACGTGTTTGACGTCTACCTCACCTTTGACAGCAGTAGCATTACAAGTTACGACGACTTGAAGGATGCTCTGACGGCTCACTTCAGTCCGAAGCGCAACAGGGAATACGAGGTCTACTTGTTCCGTCGTGAGAAACAATCTCAGTCGGAGACCCTTGATAGCTACGTAACTCGTCTTAGGCGTTTGGGCAAGCACTGTCAATTTGCAGATATGGACACAGAGCTAAAGTCTCAGGTCGTACAGCACTGTGTGTCGTCGAAGGTACGTGAAAAGGCTTTCATGGAGAGCAGCATGTCGTTGGCAGACCTCCTTACTTATGCACGTTCAGTGGAAGTCACGATGTCGTCTGTGGCAGCCATGGCCGGGGCCAGCAGCTTCAGCAAGCCTGAACATCCCCAAGTCCATAAAGTGGAGAGGCGACACCCATCAAGTCGTGACCAGCCCAGTCCTTCCAGTAAGGCCGTTCGCAAATGTAGCGGATGCGGGGGGAAATGGCACGACAACCGCTCGGATTGCCCAGCATGGGGCAAGACGTGCAAGTCCTGCAGCAGGTCGAATCATTTCGCAAAGGTATGCCGGTCGAAGGCTGTGCATCAGTTTTCCGAGCAGAGAGCCCCGGAGTTCGCATCACCTGACCAGACGGCGGAATACAGCGCGGAGCTGCACCACACCAGTTGCTCTGGTCATGTGCGTTCCAACGTGGATCCTTATATGTGTAGTGTGAGTCTGGCTGGCACCCCTGTTGTGTTTGAGATAGACACCGGAGCGGCAGTAACAATAATCAACAAAGCGGAGTACCAGACACTGGCGTCGAAAGATACCAAGCAGCAACTCCCCAGTCTGGAGACGAATGACCTGCCGAGCCTTAGGTCGTATGCTGGCAAGATCATACCAGTTATTGGTCGTCTCATCTGCAATGCCCGTCATGCGAAGAACTCGGCTCAGCTGACCATGTTTGTCGTCGAGGGTTCTGGTCCGAATCTGTTGGGTAGAGACGCGCTGCAGACGCTAAAGCTCAACTGGAACCGAGTCTTCAATGTCACCGGAGATCTGAGCAGTGACCTCCTGAGCAAGCATCCTGATGTTTTCAAGCCCGGACTAGGCACCTGGAAGCACGGCAGTGTCAAGCTTGCAGTCGACCGCAATGCTAGACCTCGCTTCCTGAAAGCTCGCTCTGTGCCTTATGCTCTACAGTCTGCCGTGGAGAAGGAGCTGGACAAACTAGTCGACAACAATGTCATTCAGCCAGTCGAATTCGCTGAGTGGGCAGCACCGATTGTGCCAGTTCTCAAGAGCAATGGCCAAGTCCGCATCTGTGGTGATTACAAGTGCACTGTTAACCAGGCAGCCAAGACAGATAAGTACCCATTGCCGAACATAGAGGATTTGTACGTGAAACTTGCTAATGGCTGTTGTTTCACCAAGCTGGACCTCAGTCAAGCTTATCTCCAATTACCACTGGATGAACAGTCTAAACTTCTTACCACCATCAACACCACGAAGGGACTGTTTGTGTACAACCGACTGCCTTTTGGTGTGTCTTCGGCCCCGAGCATATTTCAACGTACGCTCGACCAATTGCTAGCTGGAATACCAATGGTCGTGATCTACTTGGATGACATCCTTGTCTCTGGCACAACTCGTGAAGAACACGACAAACATCTGAACATGGTTCTGGAACGTCTCAACGCAGCTGGATTGCTTATGAACCGCACGCCACGTTCTCGTCTTGACCTGACGTTTCCAGATACATCAGCACGTGTCTTGAACAAGCAAGGTGCTGCTGTTGACCGTCGCACAGCTCGGGCGTCGGATCTCTGTTGTGGTGATGCTGTTTGGGTGATTAACTTCACATCGACGCCTAAATGGATGCCTGGTGTGCTGGAAGAATGTCTTGGTCCAGCCACGTTTACTGTACGTCTGGATGATGGTCGCATATGGAAGCGCCATGCTGATCACATTAGACGCCGTCTTCCGTCCGAGGGAGGAGAAATGCTACCCGAGAGTGCAGGCATATCCGACCGGTCATCACCGCCATCAACTTCAACTTTGGCAACTGCACAGCCGCCGTCACATACAGATGCCGAATCACCACAGCCGTCACAGCCAGAGGTTGCCGCCAGCCGCCAGGATGTGGAATCAACATCGCTATCCTCTTCTGCATCTGCTGCACCTTCTGCTGAATCTTCTACTCAGTCTTCTGCTATCTCTGTTAATTCTCCTAGCTCTAATCTGCGCAGGTCTACACGCTCAAGGAAGTCCCCTGATCGTATGAACTTGTAACTGCAGACCTGCTGGGTTTTGCATTCAGCTCTCTGTTGATATTTGCAGTTCCTTAGTGTGTTACATTGAACTCGCTTCTCGTATCCGCAACAAATTATAGTGAACTCATTTCTCATACTATTGCTTATGTGTTCCTCATCTAATGGTGGAGGGATGTGATATCCGTACTAGTGAGCTACCTCACGTGATAGATCATTATCTTTCTACTCCTCTGCTCTAAGTTGTATCAGCCGCGCATGCTTTTCCGTTGTGCTGCTGAGCTTCTCTGTCGTTCTAGTTCGACGTTCTAGCTTTGATCTTGAAGTCAACAGTTCCCCTTTTGTCTTGTCCTGAACTGCTCTGGTGTGATCATAATAAGTGTGCAGGCAGTGATCATGGATATCCAGGTGGGCAAACTCCACACAAGCTAGCTACCAGAGGCTGTGACCAACTGCCATGGCAGCAAGAACTCCAGGTGCTGCCGAGTGTTGTGCTGCCGTCCACGGTGCGCACGCGCATGTGTGTGGATGTGTGTGTGTGCATGTGTGTGTGTGTGTGTGTGTGTGTGTGTGTGTGTGTGTGTGTGTGTGTGTGTGTGTGTGTGTGTGTGTGTGTGTGTGTGTGTGTGTGTGTGTGTGTGTGTGTGTGTGTGTGTGTGTGTGTGTGTGTGTGTGTGTGTGTGTGTGTGTGTGTGTGTGTGTGTGTGTGTGTGTGTGTGTGTGTGTGTGTGTGTGTGTGTGTGTGTGTGTGTGTGTGTGTGTGTGTGTGTGTGTGTGTGTGTGTGTGTGTGTGTGTGTGTGTGTGTGTGTGTGTGTGTGTGTGTGTGTGTGTGTGTGTGTGTGTGTGTGTGTGTGTGTGTGTGTGTGTGTGTGTGTGTGTGTGTGTGTGTGCATGTGTGTGTGTGTGTGTGTGTGTGTGTGTGTGTGTGTGTGTGTGTGTGTGTGTGCATGTGTGTTTGGATACTTTTAAAGAGTATACAGGTGCTCTTCCGCAGCTTTCACTGATAGGACGCTCGTGTTGCCGTTGTGCTGTGTGTCTGCAGGCCAAGATTGCTGCCCGTGAATCCTACATAACACAACTACTGATGGTCTACCATGACCTGCTGTTTGTGGTGCCCAACACTCTCCTTGAGCAATTGCGCCTGGTCAATGAGGCTGAGGCTGTAAACAGCCGAAAGACAACGAATATGAAAGCGGTAAGTGAGTGGGGCCGGGCCGCCGGTGATGCTTGCTCTAGATGTCAACATTTCGCTTTTGCGGGCTGTCTTTGCTTGCATTGATTCGGTGCTGACAGGTTGGGCTGTCTTTGCTTGCATTGATTCGGTGCTGACAGGTTGGGCTGCCTTTGCTTGCATTCGGTGCTGACAGATTTCTCTCGGTGCACGTGAGGAAATATTTCGATAGGATTGTAAGCAAGTACAGTCAAATATGTCGTAAGCGTTCGCCCCTTGGTGCAAGAAAAAGCGGTCTCTTACGGCAGATGGTCTCTTACGGCAGATGTATGGTAAATCCGGCATACCGGGCATGCATTATATGCTTCCATGTACTCAAATCGACGAGAATAATGCGATTATTAATATCAATATTGGATATTCAATAGAATATAGAGGTGCCAGGGCCAGTCGATCGCACTTGCAAGACAGCGCATTTTCACACCTTGCAGTTGACAGCGCACTTGCAAGTAAAGTTTCGCACCTGACTGAAGTAAAGTTTCGCACCTGACTGAAGTAAAAGTTTCGCACCTGACTGAACCACATACATGTACGTGGGTCGCGGTCGCTTACAGCAGATTTGAATGCAGCCACCGTGCATGAAATCGCGGTCGCTGGTCGCGCACAGCAGATGGTCGCTCTGGACAGATCAATTTGTATGTAAAACCGTCGGTGCACGGAAAATCGGTCGCTAACGGTAGATGGTCGCCTACAGCAGAGGTCGCTAACGGCAGATTTGACTGTACATGTGCGTTGTTAACCATTAACCCTCTTACCGCTAAGGATATAATGTTTATTGTTAGTAGCATAGAGTCGACAGCACTTCACTGCATGCTGCTGCTGTCTGTCGTACACTAGTACATCCTACCCAGTCTAACGATTCATCCCGATGCTGCTGCTCCCGTCCGTATTTAAATTCAGCAGACTACCTGGCACCGCAAAACACATGCATTAATTTTGGATCCGGTCAACCCACCTCGCGAGCAGGGTTGACCGGATCCAAATGTGACCTTTGTGCGTATATGGCGGGTAAAAATCATGTTTGTACACATTGTGGTACGCACACGTGGATGGAGATCGATAGAGCTTGTTGACTTTTTGTACGACCCACGCGATGAGTACGACGTTCACCCTTTTGGGTAACTTGTGAGCGCCATTATCAACATGGCAACAGTCAAGGTCCAAAGTAAAGTGTTCAGTTGAATCTGAAGGATCCGACGGATCTGAGATCTGGATCCTGATCCCGATCCTTACCAATCGAACATGCCCTAAGTCAACAAATATTCGGCGCATAGTTTTTCGGCGATTTCCAGCCTGGGGATTTCCAGCCTGGGGATTTTCAGCCTGGGGATTTCCAGCCTGGGGATTTCCAGCCTGGGGATTTCCAGCCTGGGGATTTTCAGCCTGGGGATTTCCAGCCTGGGGATTTCCAGCCTGGGGATTTCCAGCCTGGGGATTTCCAGCCTGGGGATTTCCAGCCTGGGGATTTTCAGCCTGGGGATTTTCAGCCTGGGGATTTCCAGCCTGGGGATTTTCAGCCTGGGGATTTCCAGCCTGGGGATTTTCAGCCTGGGGATTTTCAGCCTGGGGATTTCCAGCCTGGGGATTTTCAGCCTGGGGATTTCCAGCCTGGGGATTTTCAGCCTGGGGATTTTCAGCCTGGGGATTTTGGCCGAATATTTGTAGACTTACAGTAGGTTGTTGACCGTTGTCACGATGCGCTCATTCGTTTTGGTGTGTGCTCGTTTGGTGTGCGCTTGTGTGGCGTTTCGGTGTGCACTCGTTTGGTGGGCGCAATTGGTGTGTGCTCACTTGGTGTGTAGGTCAAGAAGGTACTCAGTGCTCAGCAGCAACAGCAGCAGCAGTCGCGCAAGCACGACTCGCCTACACCCACTCCAACTACCATGGGAAAGGTAATGTACATGACACGCAAACTCAGGGTGATCGGCTGGATGAAAGGACTGACCTGGTCTGTTCTTGTCCTTGTTCTTGTGTACGTGTGTGTGTGTGTCCGTGTGTTTCGACGCATCAGGAACGCAAAGTTCTAAAGGTCTTCACTCCACAGTCGAGTCGTGTATCCTATGTGATGGAGATTTCGGACACGACAACTGCTGGTGACATTCTCATTCAGTTCTGCAAGAAGCAGTTTGGAGTGACATCGCCCACGTTTGAAACGGGCACTGGCAGTTTGGAAAACCTGACGGATCGGCGGAAGAGCCACACGCCAGTCTCGGCATCGTCCTTATCTCTTGAAGACGTGCGGAGTGGCAGCCTATCGTCGTCATCGGATACTCTGCGCAGCAACACGCCGGAGCAGAGCCCACTGGCGTACGATGTGTACGAGTGTTACGGCAATGTGGGTAAGTGGACGCTATAGTCTATAGATGTTGTGAAAGTGATATGTCTTGGGGGTGTAGAGAAATGACTATAACTACAGTTTCTAAACAAATATCGGTATTTACGGATGGCCCCTTTATATAGGCCTTAGCACCAAATACTGTAGAGTATAACCTGGGTTAGGGGTCCACCTAACTCTGCGCGGACATAGCTGGACTCAGTTGTACAGGGATGGGCAAAAAGGTGTGCAAAACGACTTTTTATGAGTAGATGGACCCCGGAAAAATAGTTTGGAGCGAAAAAATTACGGCTTCCTCGGAAACCGACGGGGAACCCCCCTTGGGCCGGAAATTAAATCCCGGTATAAGGATCACCCGTACAATGTACATGCCAAGGGACCCCCCCGAAGGATCACCCGCACAATGTACGTGCCAAGTGCCCCCCCCCCCCCCCCCGCTCCGATCCCTAATCCGGTGTGACCCTTAACCCGGGTTCTACTCTACATGTGTGTATGCATGTGTGAATAAATACTGTACATGTGTGTGTATGCATGTGTGAATAGCCATGGGCGCTCTAGTGTCAAGACCTTGACAGGCCAGTCTCAAGGGTGTTTGCTGAGACCAGGTTTCAAAACGTACATCACTGCTACATGTACGATAATCAATGCCAGACACGTCTACAGGCATACACTGAAATCGCAAGCCCTAGCAAGAGCTGTGCTGATCGGTCATTGTTCCCCACATGCACGGCTTCAACTTTGAACTAACTGCTGCGGCTGTGTTGCTGCCTCTTTGCCTTGTGTATGTGTGGACAGAATACCGGCGTGTACACGAGGAAGCGCTCATCAGAGAGGTTCATCGAGCGAATCCGACTGGCAGCATTGCAATAGCCAAGTGCGGCACGTCAGACCTAGCGGCTGTGCTCAAAACGGTCATGGCATAAACGAGAGGGAGAGAGGCACGTCCTCGCTCCCTCGTCCGGATTTGACGTTATTATTTTATTTCGCAGGAAAGACTTTCCGGACTGCCGGTGACCACACTCGAGAATTGAAAGCAGATTCCTACCTAGACAAACCTTGACTATCACGCTTACACATTGATTTCCCACCCATTGACATAATGACGCAAGGACATTTCATTTTCCTCCCGACCAGTCTTTTCATACATCTAAATTACTTCTCTTGAGAGATCTAAAAACAGGCTCGTCGCCTACTCGACCAATGCCCTGTAAGAATCCCTGCTGCCTTTATCACTTATTCCAAGGTCCTACACTCCGCATCATCATCTATTTCCCTCCTTCCCAGAGTATTTTCAACCGTAGAATAAACATGAAGCTTGTGCTCCAGATCTCCTTTCTTTTTCTTTTCTTTTTTTCACAACAATTTTGTGAACTCTCTCTCTCTCTCATGCATGTAATTATTCAAGTGAATTCCCATCCCTGGACCTGGTTCTATCTCGACTCAATTTTCTTCTTCTCCAGAACACTTGATGCCAACTGGTTTGGGATGTTGTAAGTTGAGGTGCATTCTATGACTCCCAGGTCCACATGGTTTTTTTTAAGCACTTTAAGGTGTTGAGGTGTTGGTACAAGATTCTCATTTCTCAACACACTTGCTCCCAGAAATGATGCCTGCAAGATCTAGCACACACATTACATTTTGTGAGTGTGTCAACTGGTTTAATTGCTGTCCAGTGGACGATGACTCCCCGTGGTGGCTAAACAAACCTCCACAGGAGCAACACCCCGAGCAGTGGATAAGAGTGACGAGGGGTGCATGGGAGAGAAACCGCAGGTGGGCCCCTGACGCGCACCACACGCACACACACGCACATATCCATGCACTCACACACGCACACACACATGCACGCAGATCTTGATTTGTGGTTGTTTTTCATAAAATCACTAAATTAATTATTGTTTGAGACCCTTCTCCTGTAGTAGTGCGACGCCTTCCCGATAACCCACGTCCTCTGCTTCCTGAGTCTCCTGCACAGGGTCACAACGCATGTATACACCAACACAACACAATACAATGCACACACGCACGCAGGCTCAGTATTTGCTAGCCACATGGCGGTCACAAAGTGCTCGCGGCATTCAAAGGATCAAAGGTTCAAACGCTGTACGAAGCCCCCCCCCCCCCCCCGGGTGTCTAAAGTAGATTTTCAAAATGAGTCGAAAAGATACTTGCAAAAATAAGTTCCCGTAACGTTTTGACAGGTAGCAGCTCAACAGCAGCCTACTCTAGCTCAAAAGTACGTCATATACCAGCTTGGCTATGTGCGGCATAAGTCTTGTTAGATTTTCCTGTAATATACTTTCAGCGTGAAACACAAACAGTTTTGCCTACACCATGCGACTCGATTTTATCCGAATTTTCACCCAGGAGGACATCACAATGTCCTTGATGATGTTGCCCTCCACGGTGAAAATCCAGATAAAATCAAGTTGTGCGGTGCAGCCAAGAACTGTTTGTGTATTGCAGGTTGTTGGAGGTGTAGTGCAAGAAAGACAAGGTTACAGTGGAGCTACAGAGTTCTAAAAAAGTGCTTGAAATGTGGGGACCAGATGAATATCCTCGTGAATCCTATGCTCTTGGATCTTGCCAGAGCCTGTGCTACAGATCATCCAGACATTCCAAAATGAATACACTTTGCTATGCTCCCCTAAACCAGAAGAGGTTTGAGAATACCCCAGAACATTTCTACAGGTGGTGCTCTAGCAAAGGGCTTTGATTAATTCTACCAAATTCTTGACACTGTGGGCCATTCTGCCTTTCAAGTTTCAGCCAGGGGTAAACTTGACCCAATATGTGGGAGTTGCACGTCAAAAATATTATGTAGGTTTGCAGCGTACGGCAAACCGTAGCTGTCGCTGACAACCGAGCAGCAGGCAAACGCCACGCGCGTGGCTAGGCGCGCAACAATGGAGGTGTCTGGCATGCAATGGCGGGCAGCCGTAATGGGGAAAACCCAGGCCGCACCATGAGTACGCCCCCATATGCGAAGGCGAGACTACCCCATATTTGCATAAAGGTATCAGCGCTACTAATGCAATGTTTACTACAAGCAGGGCTCATGGCGCCTAATCTCGATATTAGGAAGCAGTTCCTTTCATGGCACGAAAGGACTCCAGCGCGCAACTACAAGCAGGGCTCATGGCGCCTAATCTCGATATTAGGGAGCAGTTCCTTTCATGGCACGAAAGGACTCCAGCGCGCATACTAAGCCTCAGCCAAGGTACAGTACTAACTGAGCATGCAAGATACAACAGGCGGTGTGGCGGAGCAAAACATACCACGTATGGAAAAGGCGAAGTCCCCGGATGCTACCAGGTCCACAATGACAGACACCACCATGCTTATACTTGTATGGGAAATAAGGCGCGAGAGCCCACCAGGTAAGGCATAAGCAAGTGGCAAGCGCAAATAGCGTAAGACGTACCCACGAGGGCCACAACGCGAGAGTATGGCAGCATGAGCAGAGTACGAGAGTACGATGCCGGATCAACGCAGGGCGGACCAGGGTTTGGCAGTGCTACAGCACCAGGCACCTCAGCAGTTGGAGGTGGCGAACGCAGGGACAGCATCAGCATTGGCAGCTAGCAGTAGCAGACAAGGCGTGTTTTTTTCTTCTTCAAGACTAGCAACGAGGAGCAGCAGGCAACCCTCGATTCACAATGGTGATTGCATAATCACATGGCAAAACAACAAAAATGCAACCCCATTCTATGGTGCTATGATGTGTGTGTCTCGGGGGGAGGGGCGATAACCGAAATTACAAAATCAAGGAAAGAGTTTGCGGCTAAATTCAGCCTAAATTGGGTTTCAAAAAGCTCAGAACTAAATTATTTTTAAATGCACTGGAATTCATCCAGTGTGCGCGTTCATGTTGACTAAGTCTGCAATGTATGTAGCCGTGAGCAGCGGGCTGACACACAGTACGCATGCCTCCTCCCCTCCCCCTCTACACACACGCGCGCGCATTCAAATTATTAGCACATGCAACAAGGGCTACAAATCTCCTGGACATACTACAGTACCTTTTCGAGGATCTTCTCCTGGATCTTGCGCTCAGATTCCTTCAAGAGCATAATGGCCTCCTTCCTTCGACGCATATCCTCCACATATTGTGCTGGTGGCGGTGCTAGTTGTCTATAGAAAGAAGAAATGCAGTGAAACAAGAAGGAGGAGAACGGGGTCAAGGTGCACGATGTGATGTGATGAATCGTGCAAAGCAGCTGCTGTCTACAAACTGGTGTGCGATATAATGTGATATCATGACGTCGGAGTACAGCACATACTGTAACTGACATACTTGAAGTAGGCATATCAGTCAATACGGCTGGCAGTAAGGGGGGGGGGGCTACTACCAGTAGACTTGTAGACAGCATGCGCATGCACGCATCCCCCACCCACACAGAGCCAGTACGCACGCACACCTGTGCACGGTGTACATGTCGGGTTTCGCACGTCCTTATTCCGGATGCTGTCCTCATGACACACTTACTGGATAACGTAGGGCTTGACCTCGAAAATACGAACTAATGCGTTCTCAGTGAACTTGGAAGGCTCTGCTGTGCGAAGCTTCTGCATGATGGTAGCCTGGAGGAAAGCAGCCAAAGCAGCAATGGTGTAATTAGCATTGCAATAGAGTTTTAGACAGGAGGGATACCAAGCCCAGATTTACCTCAGGAAGCATAATACCTTTCTTATGAGCGTAACAGCACAAAACAAGGCCAATGCGAAGGCTATTGTGTATGTTCAACCTAGTGTATACTACTACTACCGGTATACACATTCACCCCCCGCTGTACTAAGCCACAGCTAGCGTTTGATCAGACACGAACAGTAGTATCGTAATAAAGCACATGCGTATTATAATGTGAATTTTCGCTACAAAAGCCAGCTTTCCAACTGATATAGTTTTCACTTTAACGCGCAGGTGCGATGAGAACGCTCCGTCCCTTGCACTCACCGCCGATGATGCCTGAACGTCAAAGGCCACCGTGGTGTACCCGACATTCGCTGTCTGCTTTTTTGCACCGGACTGGACGCTCAAGAGCTATGTTCTTGAGACGTCCCACTTCCGGGACGGCCATACTGCCGAAACATTCGCTCACTAGACACCCTTAGCAAAGAACAGTAACGCTATTTTTTTACGGTACTCGTACCTTGATCACCCAAATAGCGTTGAAGCTGCAGCGTTAAAACGTTCTGGGGGCTGATTTATCGTTGTGACAAACGGTACGTTTTTTGCCCAAATATTGCGTATTGCGTGCCCATTTCACCTTGTATTGCGTATATGGTGACAAAAATGGTTGTACCGCGCAAAATCAAAGCTATTCTCATGGCAACAGCGTACTAAAATTAGCGGTCGAACCCAAATCTCGGATTTTTTCCCCTTACGGTAATACCGTTACAACATAACGTTTTTTTGTTAAGGGTGTCAACTTATCCGAGTTCAACAACACTAATACTTTACTATTCGTATTTCTCAATCTGCGGACAGAACTGTCTCATCCTATAATTATGAGACATATCCAGACATTGATTATTTGCGACTGTTGCATTTTCTTTGCTCTGTTCTTTGTTCGTGCGTTCTGTGTTCGTGCATTATTAGTCCGTGTTGGTCAAGAACTCGGCCGCAAATCTAGCACTTTTGAATTTTGATGAAATAATCCGATACTCGATCGAATATTATGAATGAGTGACCAATTGGTCAAAATGGATAATCGTTTTACCCTTAACACTAACACCCCCCCCCCCCCCCTGTCTGTCTGTCTCCCTGTCTCTGTCTGTCTGACTGACTGTCTGTATGTATGTCTGTCTCTCTCTCTCTCTTATCAATTCTCGCCAGGGATTGATTCAGAAGGGTGAATGTGACGTGTGCGAGCATATCATTCCGTGCTGCTTCCAGTGTTCACTATCACAAAGCTTGAAATAAGAATAACACCTCTTGAAATGACCTGGCAAATCGCCGTTGAAATACGATCCCCGGGGGATTAATTCGCAGGAATACGGTATTAACCCTTTCCGTGCTGGCCCCTTTCACTCCAGCAAACTGCCTTTCCAGCGCACTGACTCTCCTAGTGTCGTTTTCTCGCACAGGTCCGAACGAATTTTTCTCTCGATTCAGTTCACCTCGATGGATTTTCGTCATCCTGAGCTTGTTGGAAAGATCAGGACCAAGCGAATCCATCCTGGTAGCCCTAATCTAAATGTGCACGGCGATGCAACTTCTACGTCCTCTCGAAACTACCTCACGATACCTCGGAGAGGCACAGGAATTCGATCTCACAGTATTTTTCGGTTTCTTGTTCCACTTCAGCTGATTTTCACGATTCAAACTGTGCTGGAAAGCTGAGATCCACGTGCCTCCGCTGATGACCATTACGCATGCGCTGTACCAAAGGGAAATCCCCTGGCACGCAAAAGAAAACTGCAAACGCATGAACAAAAAAATTCGCGATCACTCAGTGCCGTGAATTCCGTGTTCACACCGTCGCCGCTCCGTCAATCTTTCTCCTATTGCGAAGAACTTTATATTGCTGGAAAGCTGAGCTCAATACCTTTCCAACGGTGTGTCGACTGTCGCGATAGACTTATTTTTGACAGAGTTACGAAAGTTTGTACACTGATCTATGCACGCCCAGTACTGCGCAGATCTCATGACGTCTATAGACGTCATTAGTCGTTTGGCGTACAGCGCGCATGACGTCTATAGACGTCATTAGCACGGAAAGGGTTAAAGCCTGTTTTTTTGCCTTTACAGTAATCGTCAGCGATAAAATCAGATACCTCTTACCTCCTCAGCTGTAACAGATTCACGGAAGTCCTTCCACTCCGGATCATCGTCAACAAGAGGCTGAACCACAGAGAAACAGACACAGAACAAAAAACGGCTGTGCTGTATTGTGTATTGCTGGAAACATAGCTATCACGTGGCTCACGGCGCGCACACTGCACTGATCGTCAAGGTGACAGCAGCAAACAAAACGAAGAACTTCATTCGGCAAACGACGTGTGCTCCGTACACAGTAGAAGAGCTAGCAGCAACTGACCCGAAGAAATGCACCCCCCCCCCCGCCAGCCAGCAGCAACTAACCCAAAGAAAGCCCCCCCCCCCCCCCCCTGTCAGCCAGCAGAGGATATGAATAGACTGGTATTGCCTGTAAGAGTCCAGCAGTCTAGTAGTAGTATGAACTCTACTGACACTGGCTAAGGTAACAAGGTGAAACGTGGCAGTGTGCCCCTGACAACTCAATGATAATAACATGGCGCGGTGCATGTGACATGGAAAAGAGTCAATAGACTGCCATGCAGTCAATCAGGCACAGGTGCTAGCATACATTTTGGTCACAAAGCTGCTACTTCAAGAACTTTTTTTCTCAATTTAATAGTAGTGGTGAAACGAATGTGAAAACCTTGTAGTCGAATATTCTTTGGCTTAACGAACGAACGTACGAATATTCTTTTGGTAACACGGATGACATCACATGCCCTCCTCTCAGTCATTTGATGGATATTGTCATTACTATTAGGTATGACAAATGGTAGTGCCACATAAAATGCACTGCCACATAAGGCTACTTCGAAGTTCATACATGTTATGCACAACATTGGCAGTCCAGTATGCACATACATGTGCAAACATGCAGTACAAAGTCACAGGCAGGCTGTACGCACTGTCTGTACTGTGTTTGGCCTGCATGTATGTACATGCACTGCATCCAAAGTGACGTCACGAATACTCGAATGCGACTTAAAGAATATTCGAATGTGACCAACCGAACGAATGTTCGAATATTCGTTTCACCACTATTTAATAGCCATATCACACTACCTACAACAACGCTATGCACCCAACAACAACATACAAGTACGAGTATACATGACCCTATCGCCATAGCACCTTTCGTATTACATGCAATTCATCAACTCTACACCCAGCACCAGCACCACCAGCACCAGTAGCAGCAGCAACACCAGCAGCACCACGGCAGCAACTTGGAGCGACTCCCGTGGCCACACATCGACCATGCACTTCAAGCAGTACTCAGTTTTATTATGCAGTTGATAACATCGCGCAGAGAATGCAGTTACACACACGCACACACACACAGCCTCAGCCGTAAACACTAGACAACGCCTCACCCGAGAGAACTCAAACGGAATGTTGCTCTCAGGATGCCAGCAGAAAATGGTCCGTCCATCACGCAGAAGGCGAATTTCCCTACAACGGAAGAGAGGAAAGTACAGCAAGTCAAGACAGACAGTCAATAACACATAGGGCATAGAAAGTCAGTCAATGTGCGCGTTCGATGACACACAACTCCGTCCATTCTAGAAATCTGTACCATGCATACACTGTTCGATTACACAGATTTCGTCGTCAGAATCCACGGATTCTGCCCATTCCGGAGTAAAGGCGGAATTTCTAATTCTACGGCCAGAATTTACGCATTCGGTGTGTTTGTTGACCCCGCGCATGTCTGCTGCATATAAACAGTAAACCTGTAACTAACGACCACCCCTTGGGGCAAAAAGTGGTCTATAGTGGCAGGTGATCTTTAATTAAACAAGTCGAGAAAGAGAGAGAGAGAGAGAGAGAGAGAGAGAGAGAGAGAGAGAGAGAGAGAGAGAGAGAGAGAGAGAGAGAGAGAGAGAGAGAGAGAGAGAGAGAGAGAGAGAGAGAGAGAGAGAGAGAGAGAGAGAGAGAGAGAGAGAGAGAGGGAGAGAGCCAGAGAGAGACACAGAGAGAGAAAGAGACAGAAGCTATATTGATGATAAAATTCAGTTGCTACTTCTAAAGCCAGGAGCCAAGTGTTCCCTGTGGAAGTTTCGCTAGGCACTGGGTTTCAAATTTGTTGATGAAATCACTAAGTTTGTTAACACCCATTGCCACAGTACTGAGTAGCCAAGCCAGGCTGCAACGTGCCGTAGGATGCTAGCACTGCGGTGTTCATCTGTTGTTTGATGATTGGTTGTTGAGCCATGAGACTGTGAGATACAGCAAATAAGCCCCTGCTTTCCTTTGTGTACCTCTTGTGTGTGACTGGGGTAGGTGATTACACTTTGAAAGAGCCACTCAGTCTTTGTTTCTCCTTCGAGCAGTAACATCGATCAGAGAGCCCTTTCGACGCGTTCTCAAAGATGTTTCCTATTGTATTTGTTCTTGAATGCACTTAAAATCATAACAGGTGTAGTGCAGTCCAAAAAGAATCCGTTCAATATCATGGCAAGTCACCAAAATTTCAAAGGAGCTTTGAACAACCTTTGATTTCCTACATCGCGGCCGTTAGCTACGGGTCAAATTGACCTTAGACAAGAAAAGGCGGTCGCAGATTGTGTTCAGCCTGTAGTTGCTACCGTAAAGTTCCGTGTATACGCCCATGCCCGAAATAACGCCCATCGAATCGACATCCACACTCGAAGCCCGTGAGTTCGCTCATGCCCGAAAGCCGCCCAGGGTGATGCTGTACCTGTGTATGCGTATGTGTGCAAAATGTTATGCATGCTTATGAAAATGCAAGCGATGCAATATGCACCTTGTATAGGCCCAGTCCTGAAATGACGCTCATGCCCAAGTATACGCCCAGTTTTCAGACCCTTGTTCTGTATACGCCCAGTTTTCAGCCCCTTGTTCTGTATACGCCCGGGGCTTATCTACGGTAGTCACAGTGCATTCTGAATGTGAGAGCGTCCGTGCCTGGCGAGAAGTGGTAAGCACAGGCGCGTAGCACCGCCGTTGGCGGTGGTCCGGCCAGGCCAGGGGGGGGGGGGGTCCGGGGGGATGTCCCCCCCGGAGGTTTTTTGAAATTAGGGTGCAAAATCCTGCATTCTGGGCACTTTTGGCATTGTTTTACTATGGTGGTCGTGGTCGGGCGAAAAAGTGGTCCGGCCAAAGCCGGAGCGGCTGCTACGCCCCTGAAGCAGTACCAGACTGGTCGCTGGTCACAGTGGTCTTCAGTTACATGTCTTACTGTACTGATTTGTTCAGTACGCGCCTGGTGCGTGCTGGAAAATACAGGCCCGCCGTAACCGGTCCGGTTGGTCAGGTAACACCGGACCAACTTTGTAGCTACCAACGCATGTTTACTGCTGAGGAGGACATATGTCCCCGCTATATTTTACACAACGACCGGACCAATTGAAAACTGCTTCCGGCGGTCCTGAAATATACATGTTGGAATTTCCATTCTGGCGCATTTCCATTATTATGTTTGAAACCCCAAAAGCCAGTAAAAATAAGCACAAACGCTGTACGCGTGAAACGTGCCTGTTGAGAACACAGATCAACTTTTAAGACTGAGGAATTGACCACCACCAAATTTAGCCTACCTGTAACGCTGCACAAAACGTCACGTGTATGTGGCACGGGGGGGGGGGGGGGGGGGGGCAAGTGCACCCCCCTCCCTCCCTAAAATGTTGACCTACGTTCAGCATGCACATAATGACCATGAATGACATGCACTAGCCATCCTATACATATGCGGCCGTGCATCCCCCCCCCCTCCTAAAAGGAGGACCAGCTACGCCCCAGGACTGATGTGCTAGCCAATGACAACCCCGTGTCTCTCTAATACACATACACACAGACACGCACGTAAGCACATATACAGACACTTTCACACACGCGCAAACACGACATTGCTATGCAGTAGTGGAAGCAACACAGAAGCACAGACTGTACCTGTCTTCGGGCAGCGTCAAGTGGCAATTTGGATCAAACATTGCAGTTGCACGATGCTGTCTTCGGATGGCCGCCAAGCGGATACGGACATCCATCTTCTTTCTCTCTGGGTAGGCCTCTGCGACTTTGGAGTGATCAATTCTCCGAACGACAGGATGGGGCCTCTGCTTACCTCCTTTCAGCCTTTCAATTTGTTCATGAGGCCTGAAGACTGGGAAAAACTTTACGCGACGGGGCAAAATGCCGAAGATAGGCATTTTGGACTGCTCACCCCTGAAAACTACCTAGCCATGCAGAGTTTGGGCTACCCTCAATTGGATTATTGGTGAGAATATCATAGACTACATGTATTTCACTACAGGTGCTCCTAATTCAAATCACTGAGTAGACCTACGACTTCGAGCTCGCGAGTGAAGTCTCAAAAATGGACACGTGCCAGGTATATTTTTGTACGCGATGAAAATAATCAATTTTCACGTACATTTTTAAAATATTAAAATAATAATAATAAAAAATTCGCGAATCTAGGGAGTCGGAAAATACCGGTATTTTACTACTCCCTGATTGAAACCAAAAAACAATCATTGTTGATCACCTCCATGATATGCACAGTTGCAGTGCAACTCTGGTTTATATACTGGTTTGTACCAAGAGTACACAAACCTTTTAGGTTTATGTGCTCAAGCTTGGTAGTACTAGTAGTGTCAGTGGAAGTGTCCTCGACTCCCCGCATGTCTAGTGGTGATGGTTGTGTGCAGGAGGGTCTACTAACTAATACAGTCAAACCTCGTTAGGACGAACACTGATAAGGCGAACTTTCCATTAGTACGAACTAAGGCCAATCCTATGGTTGGCCAGGCATCAATTCAAGTCAAAATTATTCGTTTACGACGAACTTCTGTACAGCGAACTTTCGCGAAGACGAACTATTTTCAAGTGTGATTTGAACAAAGTCAGTGTGGTCATGTACATGTAGTGCGAACTTTCGGTCCACGAGCGTGCGCGTGCGCTGGCTGCCTTTTTTCTTCTTCTTTTCAATAGTCGAGGTAAGTACAGTGCAAATTGTTTTCAAGCGTGTTTTGAACAAAATAATCAGTGCGTTGTACGAACTTTCGACACAGTCGTGATTCATTGTCTTTGTCATTGTACTTACATGTACCTGTTTCTGGCTTATGCTAAGAATAACATGCTTCCCATGTACCACAGCATGCACCTTCACGTACATACAATCCATCTGATATGCATAATCGATTTTTTGTCAGATCTGGATAAGAAGAACTCCCGATAAGACAAACAAATTTGTTCAGTCCCTTGAAGTTCGTCCTAACGAGGTTTGACTGTAATTGTAGTCTGATCTAGTCGGCTGAGAGAGCAGAGGTGATATCCGGACATTTTCATTCAATGGCCGAGAGCTCTGTCGCACCCTTATGATTGCCGGAAACCAGGGCCATGATTTTCTTTCAATATGGTGGTAAACGATACATGCCGGATAGTAATCACCGGTATACAACCCTGAGGAAGAAAGCTGGAGATAAATGGCTGTGGGTACAGTCTAATGTCGAGCCAGACGAGCCTCGGCCTGGACGAGGTCGACAGGTGCCGCGAGGTCGAAGTGATGACGGCGAACAGAGCGTGATCCGCAGACGCAACGGATGCCGGGCAGACCTGGCAAGGGAAAATGCCAAGCAGCACCACAGGTAAGCTACAACCCGGCTATAGCCTAGGCAGCGCTGCGCCGTTTGGTGGCCAAGCCGTGCGCCGTGGCCTCTTGATTGCCACGGCTGCTTCTGGGCCCATGTCACCACAGGCCGCAGAAAACACTAACGGTGGGAAGGAGCCATGCTCGACTTCATTGACATGTTCACCGCAAACACGCTTCTTCTCGCTTTCAAACCTTCAGGAGAGGGAGGGGAGGGACTTGGCACCGTAGGTTTCGCCAGTTAGGGGCTGCAATGGTGGCTCCACCTCCATATCATGATGGAGCTCCTTCATGCACGATTCGATGAAGTCGGTGGGCCACTGTGTCGCATGTGGATGACTTGAACCCCGACAGCTTGCAAATTTAGGCATGGTTGACTGAAAACCTTGAGCCACAGGGACTGGATGCTGGCAGGTTGCCCAAGGGCCAACAGTACCTGAGCCGGATATGGTGGTGAAAGTCAGCTTTCACATCAAAGCTGAAACCGTGCTCAGCCATAGGGACGGTGGTCAGGGTACTGGACCCGCCCTTCTCGCGTGCCAAGCACATTGCTCGCTCGCTGTTGTGGCTGCGGCAGGCGGTCTTGGATGGCGGCAGCTGTTGCGTCCAGTACTGCGCGGTGGCGAATCCGCACTGCCGACTTGGTTGCCTGGTCCAGGCGAATGCTCTCCAGCAACTCCGATCCGCCTGTAGCGATCCGAGCTGCGAGGTGGGTGGTGCACTCCAAAGACGCAGCGTGCTTGCGTGGAGAGTCCTCAACAGTCTTGCCGAAAGACAAGCCTCCATGTCGAGCAGGCAGAGCCACCATCTCCATCTCCAAATCGCTCACTTCATGCTTGGTCAGAGCTGGCAGTAGACGGCTGCGAATAGCATCCTGTAGAGGCTGCATGTGATCACCAACAATGCCGGGGCATAATGCGTTGTAGGAATATCCACCGGCGATGCAAGCCGAAGACGAAAGCAGCAAATGCAGCGTGAGGATGTGTAGCTGCTACATTGGCAAGTCGTTCAATCTGGTTGTAAGTTCCATGCTTGAACTTTTGCCTCCAGATAGGCAGAGACAAACTCCTCTGAGCCGATAGCAGCGCCCAAGTGCCTTTGTCCCGACTTGTGGGCCAAGTTGTCACCCTCACCAGCTATATTGATGCCAGACCCTGCAAAGACTCACTCAAGCTTCAGAACAAGGAATGTTTTCGACGGCTTCGGGAAGTAGCCGTAGGCAGGTCCCCTGGACACAAGCTTACCCCAGAAGCTGTGGAGGGCCAATGGAGCACCACCTGAAGCAGCATCATCGGCAAACCAGACCTGTATGGCCTTTGCTAAAGCATCATTGGACACCTCATCGCACGCGCTGGTTAAAGGAACCACACTTAGCGCATACATCGCCATGGACAATGGACAGCCTTGAGTTGTACCTTCCTCTGACGAGAGCTCCATTCTACCAGCGACGAATCGTCTAGTTGGTGACCGTTAGATGTTACCGAGAATAGTGGCAAGTGGAGGGCAGATCATCGGAACTGAATGTTTTGGGGAGCTACAGCACGGTTAAGCCGGTTGAAGGCGTTGTCAGCATCCACGACCAGCACAGCACCAGTGCCCATGGAGGCAAAGACTTGGCGCAGGGCATGGATTGCCGCCTCGTACCCTGCACAAACTTGCTGCACAAACTTGCGAGACACCGGCATCTTGTCTTTCCTGAGGACAGTCATGACGGACTTGCCAATAACCCGCCGCAAGACCTCACCGATCCCCAGAGGCCGGATCCCAGGATCCTTGTCCAACGGTATGGATGGCAAGCAGATATTTAACAATGAAGGCAAAGCCAAAATAGTAGCCAAGCACTTTCAGGAGCAACTTGGGCCGGCTAGCAACATGATGATTTATGCCTTTGAAGGCATCCCGCGACCTCTGAACAATCCCATTACCCAGGCCGAAGTTACTCGCGCTCTAAAATGCCTAAAGAATGGACGTGCATGTGGTCCTGATGAGCTACCAGGAGAGTTTCTAAAGTACAGCGGACCAACAATAGCCTATCAGCAATGCTCAATAACGTATTTGAAAATCATCGAAGAATCGAAGTCGGCGAAGGCACCCTCATCCCGCTGCGGAAACCTGGCAAACCGAAAGGTCCTCCTGCTAACCTCCGTCCGATCATTTTGCTAACCTCACTCAGGAAGAGCCTCTCTCTTATCATCTTGAATAGAATACGACCGGGAGTGGAGAAATTTCTGTCACCAGGACAGTCTGGCTTTCGCTGGAACAGGTCGACGGCGGACGTAGTCTGGTGCAAGAGGTGGCTTTCGTCTCTTGTGGAAAGATTTGACACTGAAATTCATGTTCTTGGCCTTGATTTCAGTAAAGCATTTGACACTGTGAACAGAAACAAGCTACTGAGTGTGCTGAGCAGCGAAGAAGATTGCAACTGATGATGAGCTACGCATCATTCGGTACCTAATGTCAAACACCACTCTTGGGGTCAGGGTGGAATCAGCAAAATCATCTGCCTTTCCAACTACGAAAGGCATTCGTCAAGGAGATGGCCTTTCGCCGGTCCTATTTGCAGTTTACCTCGAAGCCGCTCTGCGTGACTTTCGTTCAGTCCTGCCACTAAGACCAGCTGCAGATGAACACCTACCGGCAGAAACAGCTTATGCTGATGACGTAGGCTTTATTTCAACGTCCAAAGCCTATCTTGACCAGCTTCTGTTGCTTGCGGAGAGCACCTTCAACACATGGGATCTAAAAGTTAACGTTACAAAAACAGAATGGATCAGAATATACCTAGAGCCGACGGCACAGTCAGCAGTAACACACCAGTCCGTTATTCGAGGACAGGAGCCTTGGAGAACGGTAAAGACACCTTGGAAACTACCAGAGGTGAAAGAAAGTGATTAAAGGGGAAGTTAAGGCAAAAATTAAAATTTCACCAGTTGTAGTCTTCGGGGTGCTGAGTCGAATGGTCTTGGTCCGAGGAAGCTGAGACGCTCCCTTCCTACTTGAATCCCAATTGAACTCGCGCACTTCCACCGAAACTGGGTGACTGCGCCCTACTAGATGGGGATTTGTATGCAAATTGTCACTAAAAGCGCCATTTCGTTCTTATACAAGCACGGATGACCGCGATTGGCCCATATGTTGTAGTCTTTTGGACGCTGAGTCGACTGGTTTTGGTCCGAAAAGGCTGCGATGCAGCGTTCCGCCTTTATTCCCAATCGAACATGGTTGAACAAGCGGTCACGTGCTCCTGCGTACGCCAGTCACCTGGTCACCGTGCCTGCAGGGTACAACTTACTAGCCTGTTTGACCTTTTTTGGGTGCAGTCCTGTCACCATGGTCACTCGAGTTGAACTCGAGTTGAACCTTGGTGTGAAAGTTAGTTGTCACCTGCTGGCGTGGTGACCAGGTGATTTGGGCACCCAGGAGCACGTGACCACTTGTTCAACCATGTTCGACTGGGAATAAAGGAGGAACGCTGCATCGCAGCCTTTTCGGACCAAAACCAGTCAACTCAGCGTCCAAAAGACTACAACATATGGGCCAATCGCGGTCATCCGTGCTTTTATAAGAACGAAATGGCGCTTTTAGTGACATTTTGCATACAAATCCCCATCTAGTAGGGTGCAGTCACCCAGTTTCGGTGGAAGTGCGCGAGTTCGATTGGGATTCAAGTAGGAAGGGAGCGTCTCAGCTTCCTCGGACCAAGACC